CCCCACACCCCACACCCCACACCCCACACCCACACCCACATCCACACCCGTATGTCTTCTAACAAACTTTATCAATGAAATTGACTTGTGTTTCTTGTTATTCTAGTTCATGATGAGAGAAAAAGAGATGATATTTGTTGTTACGCTGAAATGGTTTTATGATTTCTGTGATTAATAATATTCTTGAGTAAATATAGAAAAAAAAGTAGGTTTGATTTTTAAGGTTCGACAAAGTTTATAGATTTAACGTCGTATTCGCTTTTGAGACCATTTCTTTTTCGCCTGGTGTCATGTATGATTTGATCTCGAACGGCTCAAAACCCATCGCGCGTCTACCTTCGAGCGTATTAATATCTTCGGGAGTAGCTCTTCCAACATGATGCAATTCACCTTCACCACCAGGAAAGTCTGGTGGTGGTATGCCACGTTGAAAACTATCACGTTGTTGAACAAGATAGTCAACGTTGATTTGACATAAAGGTGCTGCTGGAATATAGAAAACAGTTGAGTCCGATTGACCGCGATGAACAGCATCAACAGCATGGATTGTGTCACAATGCCAAAAAACCATATCGCCTGGGTGTACCGTAGGAACTGAAGTCATCGAAGTAGACGGTTGCAGCTCGGGATGTAATGAGTCATTCATTTCTTGTCCACGGCCAGGAACGGCGCCTTGCCAAACACTCGATGTATCAATTTCCCAGTCACCATCCGTTTTGTTTCGTGTAAAGAAAGGTCGAAGAAGCCAGTACGGTGTGCTATATTTCAAAAGTGGATTCACTAAAAGTCCTCCTTCACCTGGATTAACAGTGGAGAGACTGAGCCAACCTTGCCAAGAGCGAAAAGCGGTACAACCACCTGCAGCATTGTAAAGAGACATATGTGCATGAACGCGATGAGTGGCATCGAAAAAGTCATTTTCTTCCTAACGGCCTTCAAAAATAGGTGTGTAGCACGATCGATACTCTGGATCTTTCCATCTTTCGATGCCACCACCATCCACATGTGGTCCAAGAGAAAAATGAGCATCACCTGGTTGACGAATTCTCAGACGATCCACGTACATAGTGTTCTCTTTTAAACAGATGTGAGTTGAAGGTGATGCATGCTAAAATGAATTAGCGAATGTTAATGCCTCGAGGACTCGAACATTGGCACGAGCATGAATCTGAGAAGGCGACATATAATTCGTAGACGACTCGTGTATCTTGTGGAAATGCCTTAGTATGTGGATTCTGTTTAATATAGTTTTGAACATCTGCTTTTAATTTTAGTGCATCAACCTCAGGTAAAACACCGCGAACGACCATAACACCGCGAGTTTGAATTTCATTGCGAACGTCAGATGAAAGATTTTTTATGTCTCTGAAATTAACTTGAGGTATAATGGATTGATTGGAAGAGCGAACAATGGCGATTTCACGTTTTAGAGCATCAAGTAAACGGTACCAACTATTTTTCACTTCTTCCTCATGACCTTGAATAATTTGTCGTTTTAATTGAGCAAATCGAGGTTCAAGAGGCTTGTTCATGTCATCACCCGAAAGAGACGCAAAGACGGACGAGATATCACCCTCTGGTTTGGCTGAAGATTGCATCATTGATGACATTGATGTCATATTAGTTGCCATACGACGAACTGTTGATTCGATGTTGTTTAAAATGAGCAAACGTTGATCTAGAAGCGTTAATGTCAATTATTTTAATGATAAATGCACTCCAGAAGAATAGGTGACTGATAAAAACAAAAAGACTCACTTTAATACAAGCTGTAAAAAATAAAATAAAGATAAGAACAGAATAAAATAATGAAATGGTCTTCAATTGCGTTGTCTATTATGGGGCAAAGTATATAAGAGGAAAGAAAAAAAAATTGTAAAATGAATATCTGATGGAAACACACATTTTACTTTTTCGTGTCATGACATCTCTTTCTTATCTTATTACGATGCAATGATTAGAAAATAGATTATTCATAATTATGTCATGTCTTGTGTGATCACTTCTATAATAATTTAGTTTCTATTCATTTCTATCAATACTTTCGGTAAAGTCAACTAAAGTCTACTAAGGTCTTCAAATCAGAGGTGCACGAGAAGACACACATAGGGAACATCGCCTGATTAAGAGTATCAGCCACAGAGGTACCTATACAGACAGTGTGCAAGATTGTATCTATCAAATCGATTACGTCTACTAGCATTTTCAGTCCTATATACATATTTTAAAAATGAAATAGCTTTTCTGAAAACTAATAAAAAGCACGAAATCTTGTTTCTCTCTATTTATCTCACAAAGATAACAAGTCAAACATTGATGGAAGTTAAATAATGAGTTCGATTACCTGATAGACGTCATGGATCGTAAATATTTAGGAAACAATCATATGATAAATGCTCATACAATAGACATGTGTCATTAAAGGATATAAAATAATTCGTAGGAAAAAAGAAACAAGTTAATTTACATTTGTTTCTATGATATCAAATATTCTAGACGGAAATCGGATCAACTCGAATAAGTGAGTATAGACTAGATCGAAAAAAAAAATGGTTTCTACTGTAGTTAACAATCATATAGTAACCAACCGAGTTGAACGATGTATTAATCTTTGATGGAATGCCAATATTCATTGATGTACACGATAATGAAATCAAATGTCAATATAGATTGAAAAATAATATCGAGAAATTGTTGTTAAAAATCTAATACATTATACAAATATCGAATTCTTACTAAAACATTATCAAACGCAATAACATTCAAAAATTTATCGATGTGAAGCTAGCACGACGACCAATCAGGACCGATCTTCCATTCGACAAATCAGCGCTCGAGCATAATTTACCATACCCATTCTACATATTACCACCGAAAACTTCCTTAGCAACCCCATGTTTCTTCATAAAAACCGACAAAATCCGATCATCTCTTCAAAATATATCATCCAAACTATATAAAAAAAACCAAATTCACATCAACTCCAATCAAAAAAAAAAAATTACGAACATGGGATCCATTCATGTGAAGCTACCACGACCGATTTTGAAAAAACCTCAATTTTTGAGGTACCCATCCATTGCCCGAAGATAAGCTATACATCATTTTGTAGAGAATTTAATTCTGCATCGAATGATGTATAGCTTATATTAAGCATCCATTTCCATCGGGGTGATATCCCCTCAATTATGACATGAGTCATAAAAAAACTGCAAAAAAAATTTATTTGCTGACCAAACGATCCATTGCCCGAAGATAACCTATACATCAACTTGTAGAGAATTAACTTCCGCATCAAATGATGTATAGCTTATATTAAGATTTCATTTCCATCGGAGTGATATCCCCCCAAATTATGACATGAGCCATAAAAAAAATGTCAAAAAATTTGAAAAAACTTTAACTTTATAGACAACCATCCATTGCCCGAGGATAAGCTATACATCATTTTGTAGAGAATTTAATTCCGCATCGAATGATATATAGCTTATATTAAGGGGACCCCCCCCCCCCCTCAGAAATGATTTCCCACTTAGAATGGGACTTTTGAGCTGAAAATTTCAGGGATGAGTGATCCTGGAGAGATACGCCTCTGGTAAAAATTTCAGCCAGATTGACCGTACTAAACCGGAGTTTCAGCTGAATCATAGGTCATTTTTGACCTTCAGGAGAATCGATATAACTTTGGCATAACACTAGGTATCGAGCTCGGGCTGGTCTCAAATTAAAGCTAATGTCAGTACGCAACTTTTGTCCGAACAGAATTTTCAAATTCAATCTTATTGATTTTTTATGACTATTTTAGTGGAAGGGTCTAAAAATCAGCATAAAAAATGGTGGTCTACCGACAGTAAATTCCACTTTTCTCATCACCGGAATCGACTTTAAAAAAACTGGTCGGACAAAAGTTTACTCTTCTTGAGACCTTTAAAACAAAAAAAAAATATTGGATATAGCTCGAGCCGAACAGGAGTTATTTCAATTTTCCTGATTGGAAACTATGTTCTGAGAAAAACGATAAAGAAGTTTTAGAAATGATTTTTTTATTCAAATTCGAAAAAAAACATATTAAAATGGTATGTTTTCAATATATTTCAGCAGACTTTTTTTGCAACACATAATAGATGGCGTTAGCTAGCATCATCTATCATGCTGCTGGAATAGTTTTGTTCTTTTTCGGATGACTCACGCACTTTCATACCATAATATTTTGTGGGTATAATAATTCATATGATTTTTTCAACAAATTGAAAAAACTGAAAGTTTTCGGGCAAAGATGAATAAGACACTAAAATCAAATTGTTCTCAGCATAACTTACGGTCTCTCAGTAATAAGAAACCATCACTTCTTTTTTTTCTAGATTTTTTAATTGTGCTGCATTTGTATTTTCTTCAATGACACGCTCTTCGCTTTTGAAAAAGCAAAGAAAGGTCCATTTGGTCCAAAACACTTCTAAATCACGAAAAATCGTTGACGATGTTACAAAAAAGACACGTAAACTACAGAATGATCTTATTTCGAACATAGATCAACCAACTGATAACGAACATTTCACGTACAAAAAACGTCCATTTGCTGGTCCATCATATCAAAAATTATCAAATTTTCTTGAACAACAAAATACAGATGTTGCTGAAGATACAAATGATTATTATCAGATAATTCACAACTCGTTTTTGTTAGAATTAATGAAACAAACTATTTGTATTTCATGTAAATCACAATGGAATGGTGATATGTCTGTTGCAAAAAGGGAAGGTACTGTTTATATTGTCTTCTTTCTCGTAAAACTTAATAATTACATATATATTTTTAGGATTATATTGTTCTCTAGTATTTACATGCCACTGCTCGAACGAAATTAAAATCAATACATCTAAACAATGTCCAAAAACTTCTAAACGAGATATTAATATCCGAAGCGCAATTGGTAAGTTTATTCTTAGTAGTATAGTAACGCAGAAATTAATCTGTTATTTAGGTGCAAATTTTGCCGGAATAAGTCATCAAGGTCTTGAAAAACTTTGTGGTGTTTTGAATGTACCACCTCCTATTGATGATGATCATTTTTCTCGTACAATTACACATATACTTCCGGTATTTGAATCACACAAGCTCAATTCAATGAAAAATGCTATAGAAGAAGCATGTAGTGAATCAAATAAACGTGAACTTACCGTAAGCGGAGATGGAACCTGGCAAAAACGTGGATTTTCTAGTTTACATGGAGTTGTTGAAGTAATGTCGACCGGTTCCAGTACAAAAGTAAGTATTAGATAAAAATATTTCTATGTATTATCATTCAAATTTTATAGGTGTTGGATTTGGAGAGATTATCAAAAAGTTGTTCAATTTGTACAGGTGCACTTAGTATCAAGCATTCAAATCCAACAAAATATGAAGAAATTAAAAATAAACATAAATGTGAAATAACTCATTCAGGCTCATCAAGTATTATTCCGTTCAGTAGTTTCTATTTTAACTATATGCTTTTTAGGTTCTATGGAAACAGAAGGCATATATCATTTGTTTTCACGATCCGAGAAAATGTACAATGTTCAATATATAAAGTAAATAAAACTATATTGTTTGATTTCTCTTAATTTATTTCGTTGTAGTTATGTAGGAGACGGGGATTCTAAAGTTTTTCTAAAACTAACTAACAATCCTCCATATAAAAATATATCAATCAATAAAATAGAAGACGTGAATCATTTCTCGAAAAAAATGTTACATCGTTTACAAAAGATAGCAGAAGATTTGAAGAAAACAAAAATTGATGGAAAACTTGGTATAGGTGGACAAGGCCGAATGACAAAGCGTTAGTAAATTCTGCTTCTGCTCTAACTAATTGCTCTTTTTCTTTTAGAAATGATGATTAATTTCAAACAATATTACCGACAAGCTATTGTACGAAATAAAACAAATCTGGACGAAATGATTCGTTCAGTTTGGGCTATATGGAAACACAAAGTATGTGAAATAAGCAGGGTTTTATAAAAGAAAATATTTTATTATAGGCTTCATCAAATGAAGAGCCACATCATGAGTGGTGTTCAATAAAATATTGTGGGTATTTAAAATCTCTAGAAAAAGGTAAAAAAAATAGATACTTTTTGAGATTTTATTCTATATTATTAGGTGAAGAATATGATCATAATAAGCATAGTTTACCATTAGGCATTATGAAAGCAATTCGACCAGTGTTTGATGAATTAGCTCATCGTAAGTTCTTTGAAACATTAAATATCAACTCAAGATTATTTATTATTTAGCTGATACTCTAAAGAAAGTGATCAATGGTGGATCTCAAAACAGCAATGAAAGCTTCCATGCCGTTTTATGGAATTTAGCACCAAAAACTCGATATGCTACTGGTGTAGTCATTGATCTATGTGCAGCAATTGCTGTATTATCATTTAATGATGGTAATCAATCGATTTTACCAGTTATAGCTGAATTAACAGGTAAAAGTGTTTATAGATTTGGTCTAAAATACAACATTGTCTCTCTTTTAGGCGGTAGTTATGGTTTTTATACAAAAGTTGTACTAAAAAGACTTGATGAACGTCGTGTATATTACGAACATAAACAAAAAAGAACAAAACAAGAAAAAACAAAATTAACTAAAGAAACACTTGATTCAGAATAAGGTGATCGTATGAGTCTTGGTGTTAATGATGACAACTCATTAGATGATTCATATATACCTGGTGCTTATTAATTTTTTTTTATTGAACATACAGTTTTTTTTATTGTTTTTCTACTTGTTGTTCATTTCTGATCATATTTCATTTGTTAAAACTTTTTTATTCTTGATAGAAGAATTAAAATATGTATCACCATCTTCATCTTTTCTTTAAAACTGAACTACATAACGATTACAAGTAACGTAATTAGACCAGTATTATAATTCAAAAGCGTTTGCTTTTTTTGCTGTAGAATTTCAATACAGAATGAGCAATTTTGACATTTGTTACAATGCCTTATGTCGTGCATTTCATAAAGAAAATGTTATTATGCCTCCAGCTCTAGTGGAAATTTTGAAACCCGATGATGCTATTCAGTCAAGTATCACTCTTACAAATACAAGCAACATTGATTCTGATTCAGATACTACAACCAATATTGATACAGATAGTTCAGATGAATCAGCTGACTCAAACAATATCGATTCAACCAAATCAATTCAAGAAAATATCAATAAAGGAAAGAATGATGATAGTATAGCGTATGTATCTCTTTTGTGTCAGCTTTCCCTCTGAATATATCCTAAATTTAAGTCAAAGCGGTTAAAACCTAGAAAAGTCGATATTCATTAAATCAGAAGATCCTTCGTATAAAAATATATTCCAACTATTAATAAATATTCTTCTTTATTTTTAGTAACGCAAAAACCATTACAAGATCATTGTCATCATTAACACTTACAACCAACATAAATCCACTCAATTCATCTTTGTCGTCATTAACACTGGCAACAAATCCAAATCCACTCGACTTGCCTCGTGATCGAAAACGTAGACAAGAAACTTTCAATAAACTTAATCAGCTTATCTTCAGTATTCGAGAACAAAAAGGAAAAACAACAAAAAAAGAAATATATGAGCTTCCACCATTAATCAAACAAATTATCCGATGTTTATATCCATCAGACATCGATGACAAAAAGTTTTTACAAAAACCAGATGTCATCTTCACTCTTCAAACGTTTATTGAATTGTTTCGTATCTGATTGTTGTTTTCGTCAATCCTTTCAAACTTGTTGTTCATTTTTTTTTATAATGATCTTAAGAACATCTACGTTCTATAAAAAGAACAGCAGTACAATTGATCAATATTAAATTATTGGAATACCTTAGAAAAGGTTAAAAAAAGTGCATGTTTAAAAATGTTTCGGTTTTCGTAAATATATTCTCGCGCAATGTACTTGAACTGTAAAATATTCAGTATTGAGGATAAAATATAAATATGCAATCTTTGTCTTAAGTGTTGATATATGCTTAGAGGTCACTATAAAAATATTCTATTCAATGCTGCCGCAAGTAGCAACGCAGTTTTTTCGAAACTAAGAAAATTTTGAGAAATTACGAAAATTTTTCGTAAAACATGATAGTAGGGTGGTTAAGTTTTTTATCGATAAGTCCACGAAAACCTAATCGTTTTGCAAAAAGCTACCTATATTCGGAAAGAGGAAGCTTCGGCGCATCTTTCTGTGTAAAAAACTCTATTTCGATTTTTCTTCAAAACATTCGGTTTTCTAAGGGGGGGTCCTCTTAAAGCAGCTTGACGACCACGAATTAAAATAATACTCATATAAATGTGATTTAATGTAATTGCTCGTTGTTCTATAAAACCCAATATTAGATCTTCTGGTACCAAAGGAACTTCAAATTTATTTTTATAACGTGCAAAACGACAATAAGGATAATTATTTGATGGTATAAATTCAATACATTTTCTGCATAAGAGTTGTCCTTCAACTACATCGTGATATAATTCATGTTTTTTAGCAGCATTTTTTAATTGACTCTCAGGATATAATGACATACAACAAATACATGGAAACCACCGTTGAAGAATGGTTGAAACATATCTAATAAATACTTTTTGATTTAATTACAAAAAAAGTAAATTACTGAAACAAAAACCTTTGTTTTAAAATATCATGTATTTCCGAACATTCTAGGTCTTCTTCCATCGGTGAATTGAAATCCCACAAATCTGATCGAGTTGTAAATGCTGTTTTTTTCTTGAGCAATTTTTCAAATTTACATGCATGACGGGTTTGTGCCGATGGTTTTGTATATTTATTCTTCTTAGTTTTTTTTGATGGTTTAATATTGCTATTATTTTTCTTCTTTTTCGAGGGTTTTGAATTCCTATTCCTTTTCTTTCTCTTTGCAGATTTCGAATTGCCATTGTTTTTCTTTGTTTTAGAGGGCTTCGAATTCCTATTATTTTTCTTTTTTTCTGATGGCGTTGAATTTCGGTTTCGTTTCTTTGTTTCTGACACTTTTATCGATGTACTGTGCAAAGTATCAGATCCTTTTGAATCGGAGTCATCGTCGTCCATTACTATTTTTACGATTGCAGAAATGATACTACTATTGACAATTACCAACGTCTATTGTATTGGATAAAATAACAAAATATTCACATTGATGACAAATATAAATTTTATTTTATATGCCGCGCTTTGTGAATTAATTTTTCAAGTATACATTTCCTAATTTAGCAAAAGAAAATTAAAGTTTCTGTTACTTTCTCAAATTATAATCTAAAAAGAATCCATTGAAATAACAATTCATATTAATTTCTATACAGTTTTATATTATTGTTCAATTCTCAAATAAATCTAAAAATTATATTTATTCAAATATATGATGCTTTAATATGGAAACAAGCACACTAAAATTATCTTATCTAATATTCAATTCCAAAACTTTCATTACAAAATATTGATCCAATTTTCTAATGAATACTCAACTGTATAAACTATTTAATCATGGAATTTAAAAATCAAACCTCATTGCAGCTTTAATCAACAAGTGCTCTCGTCTTCATGTTAAATTCAAACTTTTGTAGTCTAAAATAATATATTCATATAAATGATTAGAGTTTGAATAGAGTATTAAAATATTGATGTAAAATGTATTTGATATGTCCACTATCCTTAAATATCAAAAAATAATCGTATCTCCACATATAAACAAAAATATGTGTATCTTAAAAATTAAACAACTTTTTAATCTATACGTTTACTACAGTGCATATTTAGATTAAAAACAGCAATAGCGATTTTATATCATCTTATCTATGAATTGTTGAAATTCGGTAGCAATATTGTTGTGCTTCTGAAATATTTTTACACAAATTTTATTTTACTATTTGTCATATACTTCTCAGTTACTGATTATTTTGGTTTGCAACTAATAATTTTCATAGAATTTATTGATATTGCTATTCCCTAACACATAAAGTCTTTCATCAAAATAATCGCTATATCCAATTATTAAAAATATTTAGTAATATTAAGATTAATAGATCATTTAAACTACTTTGTATTTATATATTTATTCAAAAAAGACTTTTATAACTATAATATTTTTTTATTGTATAATGTTTTTTTGGAGTTAAATATAAACTTTCTAAACGAATGCATATTTTTTTTTTGACTACACTCATTTATGATGTTGTCATAATTTGTAAAAAATAAACGAGATTAGATAAATGCTCCATTATGATTGAAGTTTTAATAGATTTCATTTTATTTTTTGTATACGACAGATAGAGTTCGTATAACCAACCAATTTCCATACCGATCTCGTCTCGACGATGAGCATATAAACATAATTTGGTTTTAAATAAAAAATCAAACAAATTATCCCATTCTTTACCAATTGTTATTTCATAGGTATTAGCATTTATCATCTCTATCAAATTGATGATATGCATATGGAGATTATAATAATCGTTACATACTGAGCAAAAGGCTAATTTATCAAATTCTACCAAAGATGAATGAGTTTCTTTTCCACACCAATAACATGTTTTGCATCCAGCCACAGGCATGATAAAGAAAACAAGTTGAATAAAGCAAAACTTAAACAATTGATAAAGAAAAATTTATAAACTAAGCGTCTTACATACTGCACAGGTCTACTGATACCAAAAATTTTCTAGCAAATATATAAACAACATAATCATCTTAAAGGTGTTTCTTCATGCTTTCTATCATAGATAGTAACGCATTTATAGTCGTAATAAACACTTCTGACATAAACGGTCATATACACTAAAACATCCGATCTCATAAGTTTTACCACATTAAATATTATAAGTAAAAAACAAGTTTTATTAAAGATACTCAACATTTTTTTTTTGAATATAATTTGAATTTTTTGTCACGTTGTCTTTTAAGTCGTTTTTAACTATTCAATAGTCTCTATGAAAAGTTAATACTTTCCTTTCTAGTCAAATCAGTTAATGTATTGTATAAATGAAATAAGTTTACTGGAAATTTTTATTTATTTACTAAAATCAATACATTCGATTACAACGTCTTCATATAATTTTAACATTCAATAAATATAATTATATTTAGCAATTAAATATTTTTATCAACGTGGATTTGGCAAATGTGCTATACAGTTCTGTTTTCCATTATCTCTTTCTTCCTCTATAAATGCCGAACCCTATAAACGCTCATTTTTATCTTAATGACTTCTTTTTCTTGGACACAGGTTTCACTTAAAATCTATCAATACATATCGAAGGGAGCATGAATGTTGTTTTAATAATTAAACATCTACGTAAAATGTTGAAATACATGGGATTTTTAATTAATAATATCATATGGTTTCATGAGATACGTATATAAATGTATTAAATTGTTCAAGAAAAAAAATCTACCATTATTTACTATTCAATCTCATGGCTTTCTGCATAGTCAAAAATGCATTAGATTTAATGGAATAGATGTTCTTATTAACTACACGAGTGCTTTTCAAGATAATTGACAGTTTCTTTTAATTTTTTTTTCTATTCAATATTTAAGAAATATTATGAAACTTTTCATAGCATTTTACTTCATTCAAAAAAAATAAATAAATAAACACTGACCGAAAGGCATCTATCGTTTCTTATGCGCCATTAAATTTATTTTATATTGTTTGCTTCATTTCTTTCATATTAACCGACAATGAATGATACTAATAATATTGTTGATATTGAACAACAAACACCAGAAATTATCTTTGTTTCACTGTTAAATGATATGATTGATCAAGTTTTGTTAATGCGTAAACAGCATCTTGCAAGACTGAATAGAGAACGCGTACACCGTTATCGAGAACGAAGGCGACAAGCTGATAAATCTGCATATATGCTACAAGTGCGAGAACAAAAACAACGGTATCGAGCATCACGACGATCTAATCATCTTCACCATCAATAATATTTTTTGTAACTATTTAGAAATCGAAATTCAATTATTTTAAATATAATAGAAATAAACACACTTCAATTTTTTAGCTCTTTTAAATGCATAAGATGACGTTAATAAAAGCTTTAGTTATTCTATTTATTTTAAATTTCAATTATTGAATGAGTTTAGCGTACTATATGAATAAATTTTGGTTTATTTTTATATTGAAATTAAAATTATAGTTCCAATTTCTTATTGATTTGCAAATATCATTTTTAAACGAAAGTTATTCTGAATATAAAAGCAATCATAATTTCGACTGAAAACTATATATGGATATTCATAGTCAATTGCATTATTGTATTCCTGAACTGATGATTCTAAATAAGATTGATCTTGATTAGGATTGTATTGTGATATCTTTAATGAAATGTTTCGATTGCTAATATGTGTTGGTGAAACTTGGAATCGTTTAAAATTGAAACGAACTGGAGCTAATAGTTTAAAACCGTGTTTAACATATTTTCCAATTCTAATAGCAATACGTGCATAATCCTTGTCATCATTATTCAGAGCATAATTTATAATTGTTGATGTTCGTATCGCTTCAATAGCTGCCATTGTACCTTGCAAAGTTTCACCATTAAATGTAAATTGTGTTGCATCAATATCAAAATTTGTTATTAGTTGATCTGATGTATAACCTGATTTAATAAAAATAAATTGAAGATCAATAGATTGTTTTTGTTGAATAAGACTTTCAATTGTTCTATTCATGAACAATCGTAAATTAATAATCTGTTGTCCAGCATTTTTTATTCGTTTAACATAAAAATATTCTCGCATTTTTGCTTCTGTATTATACTAGTAGAATATCAATAAATATTATAAACATAACAAAAAAAATCTAACTTACAATAGAACTTAGATAATCATCATATGAAACACCTTTATAAAATAAGTCAATATCTTGACCAGATGATAAAGAAGCATTTTCAATAAGACATGTTAACAGGCATCCACCAGCAATATGAAATCTTGAATAATCAATTAGATGATACCAACTAGAATTTCATAGACCGAAAAACAAAAAAATATATATAATCGAACAGAAACGCTGAATAAAGTGTAGTTTGAGTATGAAAAAGCTGTTAGCGCAATTCCTGAGAAATAAAAATATGAAACAGTATGTTGCTGCTGTTACTAGTGAGACGAATATGGTTTTCTTGGATGTACCATGGGACCCACTCATTTGTCATTTTTTAGTTAATTCTCTAGAACTGCAACAAGGAAGCAGTTGATAGTTTCCCTCAAATTCAGCAAATTTACCTTTCTAGAAAAAACTTTTGGGAAAAATTCTTTCGAAGGAAAACATATCAAAGCAAGGAAAAACTCGTTTTCTGATACACCTAGGCCATAGATCTTTTTTTAATTCCAAATAATCTAAGCTTTTTTACTGCTCAATTTAACATAGTGCAAGTATGAGTCTTGATAACATGAGTTCCAAAACTCCATCGCAAAGTAAGGACAGATGTTAGTTTCGAGCTTCTTTCTCCTGACCAACAGCACTAGGATCTTTGAAAAGGTCATGGAAATGCAGAGCACAAAATTGTCTACCTATTACTGTTAAACACTTAGCTTTTAACACTGGCTTTGATGAGTAAAATCTTCTACTGATCAATAAATGTCTACAGAAAATATCAAATCGTAGTTGAATCATTAAGTAGAAATAAATCTTTTTAATTATGCACCGAAAAAAAAAGAAGGCTTATTTGAAAAATAAAATTCACAACTTTGTAGAACTTGAAATTCTCTATCTTTTGATATCAAAGACAATTTTTTTCATAATTACAAAATGAGATAAAAACGTATCAAGATTTACTGTAATTTGTCCTCGGGCACCCGTTAGAATTGTCAAGATATTCTTAGAGTCACAAAAGATGTACGTGCTCGACATTATTAGTTAAATTTACTGTATTTGTCTATTGATAAATATGGTAAAATGACTGTAAAATTTACGAGAACGATCAAAATCAGTTGCAGAAGGCAACGACTACGAGGCTTTTAAAACTTTTGAATGTTTATGATTCTTAATTCTGCACTAAATTTGACCTGAAATATTAGAAATTATATCTAGGAAAGTAGCCTTTACTTCTAAAACAATAAAATTCCATTAAGATATAAAGTTTCCTATATATCTCACAATAGAACTATCCTCATTTAATGAATCACTCAATTAAGTCGACATACCAATAGAAGAAAAAAAGATTATTCAAATTATTAATGAATTGATCAAATGATTTAACAAATTTAGGTAATTCATTTGATAGTGAATAAACATTGAATAATTGTAATTCTAGAGGATGTAGTTGTCTTGGCATTAATAATGCTTTACTATTAAAAACATCATACAATGGTTGATTTGTTGAGTATAATGGCATATTGTACGAGATAAGTCGAGAAAAAACTTCGTATTCAGGTGTATCAATATACTTTGTTGCTTGTCTGATACCTTCTGAATTAAAACCACCATGTATAATGGTGGGCCATTTAATAGATGAATTAGACAAAGTCAACACACCATTGGAAACCTTGAAGAAATTGCGATGTTGCCTACATAAATCGATACAGTTTGTTAATACACTTGTTGATGTTTGTTGTTCCAAAAATTCTCCAAAGTTCATTGATACTTCATTGAAATCTTCCATATTATTATTAGTAACAATTTTTTCGATATTCGAACGAATAAAATGTAATGTTTATTACAGTTTAATTAAAATTAAAATAATTCAATTTCAGCAACAAACAAAATGAACCTAATTATGCGATCGAATATTTTTTTTTTAACTTATAAAAAATAATAGCTTTAAAATTATATAAGAATGTGAAAATTTCTTTTTTTAATTTACCGCCATTAAGTAGTAAATTAGACTTCTAGCAAACATAAATTAACATTCAACAATAATGTGCAGAAATTCAGACTTCTTTTACTGTTTATGCCTCCTATTATTCTAAAGTTATGATGCACACTATCAATGTTTCTAATTCTCAAATAATATTCAATCTAAAACTGTATAAGATAAGTCATTAGTACCTATATTACATTTTCTAACTTCTAAAATTTACTAATATATAACACAACATATCAACATAGGTTTTCAAAAATACAGATAACCTATATTTAAAGATTCAAAATCAGTATCGTACGTTACATTTCATAAAACTGGAAACATAATCATACCGAAAAACTTCAAACTGTTTCACAAAATTGCTTTACAGCTATATAAATCATAATGCTGTGTTTCAACGTACTTTTCTATATCGGAATTTGAATAATTTAAATTTTTTTTTCTTGATATAGAAAAAGAAGAAAACAAATATTATGATTTAACCTAATAATAATCAATAATACACGAAAAAGAAAACGGTTACTAAATTCTTTTCCTTTGATAATAAAAGGAATTTAAAAAAAAAAACTTCGACAATATATAATTATCACTTTCAAACACACATTACAGAAAACAAACCTATGTAGAGTAATATACAGTAAATACAAAGTAAAACATGAACCAATTCACTTCAATATACATAAAGCTCTTTCAACAAAATTCGTTGTATTTCACCACAATAACAGTTTCTTATCTAAAAATCTGTCTATTTCATTGTTTACAATAATCGAGGGTACATGAATTTCTATAAAATATTTCTTAGAATTTCTTTCAAAGCTGAAAACATATAAATCACAAAAGGATCATGGATTTAATCGTTAGGTTAGTTTCATATATCGAACATGATATTAGCATATACATTTAGACATGAAGAAATATCATACAATCAATACAGAAAATCTAGTCAATTGTCTTACACACTCATTGCGAATAGACTAATTGTTTTATCAAAATAAACGATACCGAGTAATATTAGAGTGAGAACCAGGGTTACCAAACCAGCACTTTCGAAATCAGGAGACATGCCCAAAAAAAAGCAGGAATTCACCACGAGTTTTTTTTTCTTAAACCAGAAGAAAAACCAGAAGATTCTTCTCGAAAATCAAGAAGCATTTAGTGATGTTTTTGTTCATAGAAACACTTGTTACTGTCGTCTAATAAGAAACTAAGAATAAAATTGGCTAACAAACACTAATACAAAGAAAACATAATGGTTTTGCTTGATTAATTTTATATTCTTTTAGAAAATCAGAATATATAATATTGGATAACCATTGTTTCTTGACTTTACACGCAAAACGTTTTATTTGATGTGCCAGATGATGATGAAGGACTTTTCAATTTAGAATTATTCTTAAGTAACATTGAATAAACATTATTTACAGCTTGAAGTGCAATTGGGCCTAAAAGATTTTTTTCTAATAGATTTAGAATGTCACTAACAAGTATCATCTGTTTAAGACAAATTTTCATAAAGTCATTGTGTTCTGGTTCTTTTTGTATGTAAAAAAAGTTTCAAATTATCTTTAGCTAAGAAACAAAACACTTTAGCTTTAGACGTAAAAAAAAAAGAAAGAAAGGCAATCTTATTTTCTTATTGATTATTAACTTAATCTAATTTGACAAAATTTTTTTTCTTATATCTTATTTTCTAGTGAGTTAAATATATCATGCAGCGTCGAGATGAAAGAAAAAAAGAAAAAAAACAAAACCAGGAGAAACCAAGAAACAATCTTGAAAAACAACTTGTGATACAAAAAGATTTTTTCACGACAAGACAAGCTCAAAAATTAGTATCGTCCTGATCAAATTAGAAAATTTAGTAACCTCGTCCAAATTCGTTTCATAGTAAATTGAAAAAAGTTGATATGTTTTATCATTGCACTATTTCTCATTGATTTTTATGATTAGTTAATTGTTGCACTAATTTTAATGTCTACGAATAGGCTTTTTAAGTAACATTACAACATTAAGGAAAAAAATTCAACAATTATAAATTCATTATTAATTGTTATTCGAAATGAATAATATATCATTGAAATAATGTAAATATAAAAAGGCGCAATCGTTTTAAGTTCATTACTTTAAGTTTTCTCTTTTTAATTCAATAATTTTTAATAATATGAAACGGACAATTACCGATAAGAATAACACATTAACATCATTAGCTTTAGTTTCCTTAGATGCATATATTGTACATATTAACAAAATTACAAAAAATAATACAAATGATAATCACCATTATTCATTTATTTTATGTATTGAAGATCAATCTACAGTTCGAGTTGTCAAATATTTATCCAAAGTTCCATCTTGTTTGTTATATAATCGATTAAGAGAATCATTAAGAAGTGGTCGAGGAGCTACAATTACTTCGTTACGTGAGCAAAACAATCAATATACTTGTACGGTGTCTACAAAGGTAATTGATAAAGACTTAAACTTTCGACCCGAGTGTATTCGTGTAAAAAATATCAATATCTTAAAAAACGAAACAAACGATAAATTATGCACAGTAGAAGCACAAATTTGTGCTATTAGTGATGAAATTGCAGTTGTTTTTGAAGAGAATGAATTTAAACGCGTTCAAAAAATAAAAAAAAATATAATTATTGGTGATGGGACTGGAGCATTAGAAATGAGTGTATGGGAGAATCATTTTAATGAAATAGAACTAGGCAAATCATATCATATTCGATTACTGAAAATACGAATATATAATGATCAAATATCATTAACTACCACAACAGAAACATCGTATGTATTTCGAATATATAAAATATAATGCAGTGATGTTTTTCTGTATATTTATAAGATTCATCAAAATTGATGATTTATCCGATGTAATCACCAACGTTGATAATACTATAAACAGATACAATACACAAAAAGGAAAAATTATGTCTATCGAAAAAAATGACGATCATTATACATGTCAATGTTGTGGTAGTACAAATATAATTGATGAAGCAGGTGTAATTGCCTGTATCGATTGCCATTCACGATTAATAAAAGATGAAAACATTACTGACGGCTACTTAAAAATTACAATTTCGACTTTTAACAATGAAGAATACAATTTAAGAATTGCAAAACAACTATTAATGCTTATAGTATCAGAAAAAAATTCTGATTCAATAGAAAACAATGATTGTATTAACAATGAAAATAACTTCAACAATATTATTTCTTTAACCGTAAACTTTATTTATAGCGAAATAACCGGTATAATTAGTGATATATCAATAGTTAAAGATAATGAATCATCTCATGAAAGTACGTTAAATATTATGTTCACTTCATGATTTTTACTAAAAAGTATTTTACTCTTTTTAGACAAAGTAAACGTTCAAATCTGAGCACATCTCATCAACCAATAAACATAAAAAATTATTGATAGTGCTAAAATATATGAAGGTTCATCAAAAAAAAAAATTATATTAGAGTAACAAGTAATACTGCTCACACATAAACTCTTCTTTAATAAATGCAATTTTAAATAGAAATAAATTTTATATATATATAATTGTACCAACAAAAACTGAATTGAAAAAATTAACTAATACACGACTATCTATTCGCATCGTGCATAACTTTCTCGTAAGCTAAACTCAGACTATAGCCCACTAGTCTTAACAACTTCAAATCATGAACAAGCGTAAAACATACTTCACTAACTAGATAATATCCCCTATCATAATGGAAAAGAGATAAACAGAAACTAAATGAACTAAAAAAAATCATATCAAAATATACAAAAAAAAATCTAATTTTAAATAATAAAAAATCTTGTGAATTAAGTCCTTGATCAAAATAATTATTTATAACATGGCTAATATCTTTGAATACAGAATCATTGATAATATGTACAATATATTTTATATAGGTATTAAATTCATGAACATCAATTTAATTATCAACTATTAAATGTTTCTTATTTTATACCGAAAATAGATCGAGTAACTTTACACAAAGTCGAATTCTATTACATACTCTTTAAAAATACCTTTAGCCAAATTATTTATCGATCGAAATTTCGCTTGTTAATGCAAGTTTCATAGGTCATAGGATGCATAACTTTGACTATCATAGTGCACTATATACACAATATATTAAATAATCTGACGTCGCTCGATTATTTTCACTTACCTCAGATAGTTGAATGGATCATAACAACGAATTGTTTAATAGCAACTGTCTGAATTCTATGTCAAGTCAACCCTAATATATCCGTATTTGTTCACCATCATTAACATTGACAATAATTTAAATTTGTTTTGCTAATAACTAATAATAACGTCATCTAATACAAAACTAGTAATACTCGATTTCTCTTAAATAGTTATTTCGATTGTATAAAGGTTATTATTTTCATCAGATAAATCGAAATATAAATTATTAGATATTTTCTTTGTTCGTAGTGACTACTTTTGCACGCTTAAATAACTACTCCGACAGAAAGCTAAGATTTTGATCATCCAATACCAAATGATCTAAGCCAAGAGCTGTGAAATGCCTTACAACCACAAGATAAACGAAACATATCGGTTAAAAACCGCAATAGGTTGAAAACAAACCATTATATGATTGCCTTTCACAATTCTGTATTAGTAAAGCAGCAATTGTTCTTTTTTATTCGTTATTCTTAGAAGAAATTTGACTGTTTGATTTTCCATTTATCGCTAGTGTAATTAGTAGCATCGTTCAACATGTCTCGTAGTAACTTTAACTGACTATGTTCATGTACTTTTCCTATAAATAACAAAAAAAAAACTTTTCAAACTTTTCTTATTATAGTACTGTCATAATGAAAATTTCAAACCCTTTCTACTGTATCTAAGATTTTTTTTACTTTTATTCAATGTAAATGTTTTCCTGAACAACGGTATGCGAGCTTACATCACTTTTTGAAACCATAATAAAATGTATTTTAAACACTTTCCTGCTCTATGCATCATTTACAACATCAGCAATATAAACAAACATATCATATACACATTTAATAACATTTTTCTTAAATATTACACTTATACAAACAACAATCTGAATATATCTAAAATCATCGGCATCAAATTCCTAATATATTCACCGTCATACTAGTAACCATTGATAAGGAAACAAATTTGCATTGTCTAACCCCTTATTAGTTTTAGTTTACGTTTGCCACTTACACATTTCGATATTCAATACATTAAAAATTAAACACCCTCTATTGAATGAGCAGTTAAATCATACGGAATATGTGAGTTCCACATTTTAGCCCCGTAGGGGCTGCGCTAACAAGCTTTTATTCAGACAGATTTATATCTTAGGACTGATTCTAGGTTTTTCCGAGACGACAAGAGTAGACATATATATCTTTTACATCTTCTATAAGGGAAAAGTCTGGTAGCTAATGCTGCTTCGTGTGTGTTCTCCAGTGAAAGATCATAGATCAAAGATCAATCCACCATCCTGCTCCTATATCTCCAATATCTGCTATATCTCGAATATCGTAAATATCTCCAATATCTGTAATAGGACCCTTCAGATGCTTGAATTCCTTAAGCTCCTAGAGTTCCTTGTAATTCTTGAATTCCTTTGGATCCTTGAGATCCTTGATTTCCTTGGATTCCTTGAGATCCTTAGCTTTCTTGGGATGCTCGAGTTCCTTAGGATCCTCGGGTTCCATGGGTTTCTTGGGATCCTTGAGTTTCTTGAGATTCTTGGCTTCCATGGGATCCTTGAGATTCGGAAATCCTTGAATTTCTTGGAATCCTCGAGATCCTTGGGATCCTTGAGTTCCTCGAGATCCTAGTGCTTCTTGCAATACTTGAGTTCCTTGAATTCCTTGGGTTCCTTGGGATTCTTGACTTCCTTGAGATCCTTGGGTTTCTTGGGATGTTTGAGTTCTTTGGGACTCTTGACTTCCTTGAGATCCTTGAGTTCCTTGAGATCCTTGGGTTCCTTGAGATCTTTGGGATCCTTAAATTCCTTGGGTTCGTTGAGATCCTTGGGATCCTTGAGTTCCATGAGTTTCTTGGGATCTGTGAGTTGCTTGAATTCCTTGAGTTCCTTGAGATCCTTGGGATCCTTGAGTTCCTTGAGATCCTTGAGTTCCCTGAATTCCTTGGGTTCCTTGGGATCCTTGACTTCCTTGAGATCCTTGGGATACTTGAGTTCCATGAGTTTCTTGGGATCCGTGAGTTGCTTGAATTGCTTGGGCTCCTTGGGATGCTTGTGTTCTCTGAGATCCTTGGGATCCTTCAGTTCCTTGAATTCCTTTGCTTCATTGGGATCCTTGAGATCTTTGAGTTCTCTGAATTTCTTGGGTTCCTTGAGATCCTTGAGATTCTTGGGATCCTTGAGTTCCCTGGGATTTTTGAGTTCCTTGGGATCCTTGAATTCCTTGGGTTCCTTGAATTCGTTATGATCCTTGAGATCCTTGAATTTGTTTACGCCACCTTATGCTGTGGCTTTTTAGTGCCTGTACGTATTATATTATTTTTGAGTTCAAGAATTCCTCAAGAGTTCAGAGTTCATGGAAGTCGGACACTACTAAACATAGTACATAATGTCTTGATTTTTCCATGAAATAGCTTCGAATGGTATCTTTTACTTGCACCAAGACTATCTTTCCTTTATTCTATCAACAATGGCAAGTAGGGCAACTGATCATACGTCAAAGTTCATTGCATTCTGGTAGTCCATACCATAGAAAATGAATGGAATGAAAGATTCTGTACAAAGAGACCGAAAATTCAAATAATTTCTTGCATATTATTTTTCCATTCTGTAGAAAATTATAAAAGACTTTGATGTTTCTGATTTGCCTTAGTATGGCCAATATAATTATAAACCAAATATAAAAACTTCAGAATGTACTAAGGCTTTCTCGTCAAATATTATGGCGTTAAGTGATATATTTATTTTAATGCCTTCTCTCTTTTTACGTAATAGTATCAATTTCAACAATAACAACGGTAACAACAGCAGTAACAACAGCACCAATAACATTTATCACAACCACAATTACAACAACGAAGAGTCTGCCATGTAAGGTTTTTCTTGTTTGATATTAGACTCTGGCAAAAATTAGAGAATCATCCGGTTCTTTCAATTTGATTGATGATTCCAGATCAATTTGCAACGTAGAGCAGGCAAAAGTTTTGAACCAAATGCACTCAAGCACTTTCTATACTAGTGATTGAATAAAGATTTTGAGCTTGGTAGAGTGAATAAGGAAGCTGATTAGTTCCAAACTTTTTGGATTTGTACAGATTGCACTGTTTCTTGTATTTATGAATATTTAGAGAGACAAAGCAATTGATAATGGTTACAAGTATAGCGCCCAAACGAGAAAATTTCATATTTTATTAGTACTTTATCGCATTTCATAGCACTCCAAGGATATATCAATGTTATCCTCCAGAGCTCTTCAGCTATTTCCAATCTATTATCAACATATGTTACGTAATACTAGTGGTATGAGCTCATTTCAAATAAGCTTCTCTGACAAAAAACTCAAATATTTGATTGCACTGCCGATATTGAACATCAGTGAAGTACAACCAAATATTTAATGTTACTACCATAGAAACTTATATAAAATGAACTCAAACTAATTAATTAGCTCATAGCATGCGCTGATAATAGATTGAAAATAGATAAATATTCTTTAGAATATATTGAACACACTTTTTGAGTACGTTAAAGCACAGTAGACGTGCGATATTTTCATTTTTTCTCCTGAGTCAGTACCATGAAAATTAATACATTCGAAAGGAATACTTTCAATTTGATATTCAACTATCCCGATAGAAACTGTTGTTCAGGCTTCTTGCTCTCATGCTCCGATGCATCTTTGAAAACTTTCACTGACAAAATTTTTCATTGGAATATCTTATTCTCGAAATTCAGCAAATGACTTGAATGACAAAGTTAAGCTGTCCTCAAGAAGTAAGTTTGAACATTAGTTGTATAGCTTTTGATTTTTCTAGCAAATTTTGTCTAAAAGACAAATTATTTTAACAAAGATGGATAGAGTCTATCAAATTCTATTCCAAGCAGTGTCTCATTCGATTAATAAATGGAAAATGAAGAGATTATAGTACCAATTTAAAATATTGTTGTGTCTTAGTCGAGATATGATTGGTTTTTTTAATATCTTTTAAGAATAATAGATTCAAAATCGAACAATCTTTTACTTTCATAAAAATCCGCGCGACTATTTTGACTCAGAAGGGTGTGGGAGTGGAGATGTGTGATTGGGTTTAGGTGTAGATTATAAGAAAAGTAACACTGAGACCCACACTCACACCCACAT